TTAATTTCAGAAGAGTTTGTACTGTTAAAAAATATAAATTTACTTAAGAAAAAGCAAAGTTAAAAAGTAAAGTAAAAGCTCAGGACGTACGAATGGAATTCTTCCTGACAAACGACGAGTACATGGAGCGGTATTTTGAAATCATTAAGCCCACCAGTTTCATACGACCTTCCATACGACTTTCAAACCTCTCCAGTTCCATACGACTTTCAAACCTCTTTTTCACGACCAAATAACTGTAAGTAGGGATGCGACATCGATATATATTTTCTCAAATTTATGATGTTTTGAACATCAATACATTAAAGCCTAATTTTTTAACGTTTTCTACTCGAGTATTTACGTTTTCGAATATTTGTAGTATGTGAATAAAAAACCTCATAACAATTTTTTATAAGTTAAAATATGAAATAATAATCGGTAGTAGCCATTTTTTGCCGATTTTCGGGCGAGGCGAAGATTAATTGTGCTTTTTCCTCGCAACGTCCCAGTATCTCTTGCAGTGTGACAAATAGAAAGCTCACTTCTCAAATTGAGAAGACCAGAAATACAGCGTAGGGATGGCTATGTGCTAACCACACGTACTCCATAACCTATGACCGCAAGGCCGTCCCGGCTGCTTGTAGACTTTAGCTCGTAAAGAGCTTTTGTGGCAAAGTTTATTACGTTTTCGTTACGTTACGTGCACAGTGTTACGTGCATATGTTTGAACCAAACGAACGTGGCTTGTACTATCTTCATCGACCTGTCTGTCTTTCCCTTGCGATGACTCCGATGTCCTGGTATTTCCTACGATTTTCCTCGTATTTCCGACATGGAAAGACGGTCAACGTATGTGCTTTGGACGTAGGGTATCACCTGGACGCCACTCAAGCTTCATGCGCAATTTTTCCCTTTGTTCTTACTATTTATTGAATTGAATTGAATTTTGCCTTATTTCACGTGGCGAGACTCGGGCCATCAGGCCCGCTCTTCCGTCTGACCACGCAAATTTCGCTACGCTCTTTTCACCAACTAGCAGACAAAAGAGGTATTTCTTGGGCGAGAAACAGGCGATTTGAATTTAGCTCAGAGGCGTCATTTAGGCTTGAGGATCTTTTACATGCAAGTAAATCTACGAACATGGGACAGCCGGCTTTACTTCCCCTCCGAAGGAAGGCGTACGAAGGATTTTTTCGCCCTTAACAATCCACGGCTTCGATCGGGTTTGAACCCGCCAACTTGGGTACAACAGTCCAGTACGCTAACCGTTACACCATCGCCGCCGCATTTATTTAACATCGTTTTCGGTTAAATTTTAATAGGAAACATCAATGTTGTTTTACCTATATCGCATCACTAGCTGTAAGGTCCCATTCTACCGTGGCCATAAATAATTAATAATAAACTATTAACTAAGTGAATCAAGGACTCACATTTGTTACGTATCGTGGCCATTTCCAATATAATTTCAACTGCCGCTGCTTTCCCCTTACCCAACGTCGCTGTCTGCTCCCCTCATTCTTGATAATAGTCAAATTAAACATTTATTGTTCCACCAAAAAGAAAATATTTTGTCCGAATGTTCTTGATGGCTTTTAAATAGGCAAACTGTAATCTCACATGTAAAGTTTGTTGTTTAATTTACTCTTGTATGGCACAACTTCTACTTATTTCCTTGGAGTATCTTAACTCTTCGTAACGGAAAACAAAGTTCCTTGCTAAGATTTACAGGAGTCTCTACGACTAACACAAATTGTAACAAAACACTAACAAACTATTTTTTTAAAAGGTATATATCTATTTTGCTGAATATAACGTGCGAGTTCTTGTATATACCGTGTTTACGACGAAACGAGACGATATCAACTACTCAGATTGTCCGCCATCTTGTCCATTCGGTAAGTACCGAAACAAGTCATATAAAAACGGGGTCTTTGGGTATATTGTATATACCCAGACACTAGTTAAAACACCATGTTTTCGAACTCCAAAACCCCGTAAGACCCGTACTCCGTAAAGGCTCGAAAACTTCTCTATAACTCTTTTATCCTTTACTTCTGTAGAAAAAACTATTCATATCAATTTTAAAGACGAAACTATTTTGTATAGCTATTGTATAAAAAAATTATTTCTAAACTAATCAACAAGCAAACTACAGCTTTGGTGGGGGGGCTACTTATTTCGCATTTTGGAATTTTCTTCTACTGCGCTTCCAGTTCGTTAGCTGTTTTGTTCCACAGAAGGTCTACCTCTTCACTCCCGTGTCCTTTGCGTGTGTTCGTCTATTTGAAGCATACGTTCCAGTAATGTCTCTTAATCTCCTTATTTACTGATTTTGTGTGCTCCCTGTCTTACACTTTCTCAATCTCTCACATTCCTTCATATTCGTGTCTCGTTCTCAGAAACATCGGGAACCGAGACAACAATTTTTTTTTAAAAATTATTAAACGAATCCCAGCATTTCTGTTGTATAGTAAAACGATTTTTCGTGAGATATCGGATAATCGTAACATCACCAGGATAATAACCATGACTACGAACACAGATACGCGCTTGTTTAATGGGATTGGACACTATGCCAAGGAGAGACTCACCTGTTGACCCAATAGCCCTTGCCTGTTCATGGACGAAACGTAGAAGTCTGTGTCGCGGCGGAGGGAAGGGGGAATTAATTAAGTGAGTGGCCATGTTTTTCCGGGTGCGAGGTTACCCTCCTGCAGGTATCTCTCCCTGCGGGGCATGGCCTTCGCGGACACACCTATACGCTGTACACGTAGGCTTCCGCGGCTCGAGTCCATTACTTCTAGGCTGTCCGGGTGTCGCCGCGTCGTTGCCTATCTGCCAACGACGCGGCGTCACCCGGACAGCCTAGAAGTAAACCTATACGCTTCTGTCTGGTCTCTCGGCAAGGGCGGTAGTGTAGTGAATATACAGTTAGTGTAAAACGTGACTGGGGACACCAATTTTCTTCACTCAATAATAACTCAGATTCGAGTTTTGCACACTCACAAAATTAAGAGGAAAACAATAAATTGATTGTAACTTGATTGTTCTCTTCATTTACCAAAAACATATTATTTTCGAATGGGAGCCAATTCTGGTTTTGGAAGGAATAGTCGGCGTATCTTGATTTTATGTTTTCTCATATTTATAATTATTTTTTGATTGTATTAATAATTTGAAAATTATTTTATCTCCATTTATACCTAGCATAAATAGCTTAACAATACATATGCAGCCAATCCGGTTGCCGAGATCGCTAAGGCAGTTGTGCCGTGGCGTTCTCTGACCGAAGGATCGCTGGTTCCAGTCCCGCCTGGGGCATGGTTGTATTGTGTTCGTCCTTTCACACCCCTATTATCATATCATGTCATCCTCGCAGTTACCATACCGTTACACGCAATAGTGGTCGCTAATGGCGTAGTAGTTGATGCGACCTTAAATTTGTAAAAAAAATCATATCCTTGGAAGGTGGAAATAACAGTTTTTGTATAATTTATATGATATCATCGATACAAAACTCCTTAAATGTGCTACTTCTAGATAGACTTATATTTGAATGAAAAATCAGTCTGATCACATTTCATATTCTTACAAATAGTTTTTTTCTTTCATTTCATTTTAAAATGTCAGAAATTCAAACTTGGTCCCAGCAATATAACGTTTTCATTATCCAAGTTTTGATGTATTTGTGAAAATAAAACAATAAGCAAAATATTGTAGAACAAAAGCCTATCCTGTGAATTATACCTCCATAATGAATAATTCTCAGTGTCCACATATATAACGAGTTCTCGGTCCTCTAGCACCGTGCCAAGGATAGTCCCATCTGTTGACCCGGTCACGGCTGACTGAGTGCGTTAACTGAAGATTCCCGGTGAGATCCCCCATTGCGGTTGATTATGCGCGGTTTACCCAATAACCGAGCTGCGCTGTGCACACGCATGCGGAATCTGAAATGCCAAGGACGATCGCCGCTTTGCCTCATTCAACAGCTTTCGGATAGTGTGTGTCTGTGACGCGCCGAAGCTCTTTGGACGAATCCACAGTCGATCACTCGAACGATCGATCATTCGAACGAGGGCGAATGTGTGAGTGATTACTTTCTCTCTCGAGTCAGAGATTCTCGATTGACTGATTAAACGATGAGTGTTTCCGGATATGTTCATTGCTAAGTATATATTCTCTCGAGCCAGAGATCCTTCGTAGAGTAAACGATGAGTGTTTCCGGATATGTTCATTTCTAAGTATATATTCTCTCGAGCCAGAGATTCTCGATTGAGTGATTAAATGATGAGTGTTACCGGATACGTTCATTTCTAAGTATATATTCTCTCGAGACAGATATCCTCGATTGACTGATTAAACGATGAGTGTTTCCGGATACGTTCATTGCTAAGAATATATTCTCCCGAGACAGAGATTCTCGATTGAGTGATTAAACGATAAATGTTTCCGGAAATGTTCTTTGCTTAGTGTAGTAACGCGAGAGTAGTCGTGTAAGTCTGTGTAAGTAAGGGGTGAGAATAGGACAAGGAAGAGGAAGGAACGTTCGGGCACGATCCATGGCCGGTTTGTTAGGGTACTGCTTCAGCATTCGTGTGGCGTCGATCGGAGAAACCACGGAAAACTTCCTATCAGAGCAGCAGGCCGCTACAATTCTCCTCTAGACAACGACGGAACTCGACCTAGCTCTCTAGCTAGTGTTGAAAATCCTGCCATCGTCGGGTCTCGAAGTCTGAGGCTTCCCTGTCAGAGACACTGTAGTGACGTCTATGGATGCGCTGAGCCACATCTCCCGGTAACTTAGTCGGTGTACTCAGATAAAATTTAACAGCAATCCCTCCACTAAAGATTTTGGTTGATAAAAACGCAAGCACCCAATTTCATATAACAGAAAGTTTTAAACATGTTACATTCTTATGAAAATCCACGAAACTGGGAATATGAGAGGCTAATCGCCTCCTTGTTCTATTACGGAGCATCTGATATTCACTTGTTTTGTTTTTTGCTTGCAGGCTCGTTCACGATGGATATGAAGGGCCCTATAAGGCCGCTCGACTTAGGAGAAGATGGGTAAGTAGTAGATTCTTTGTTAAGTGAACTTCATAATATTGTAAAAAAATATTCTATAAATAATGAATATGATGAATGCAACGTTTCAAATCATCTGTTTCTTCCAAATAGAAATGTAGAAATTGTAACTGTTGATGATTGTGTTATTTTGTTTTGAAAACTCGAATTTAATGTTCGGTACCACGCGGTAATTTAGAAAGGGGTAATTCGGGGATTCGTAAATACTCAGAACCTAATGGTTCGTAACCTAATGGTAGAGCAGATGTCATCCACAGCTGGTTCATGGGTTTGGTTCTCGATCGATTCCCGAAGAATTGGTGATCAGGAAAGGAAATTTCTAGCATGTTTTCGTGAGGTTCTGCTAATTTCACCATTTTTCCGTAATCATTATTTTTATCAACTACTCATTCGATCATCATTCAAGGGTTTTAAAGACCATTCTAACTTAAGGGCCCCATAACCCTACTATTTAAATGTATATAATTTTTTGATTGTATATATATATTTTGAAAATTATTTTACCTCCATTTATACCTGGTATAATAACTTAACTAAACACATCCTTGAAAAGATGGCATTTTAGATAGAGAACAGTTTTTGTGCGATTTACATGTCGTCATCGACACAAAATTTCTTAAATGTGCCACATCTAGGCAAGAAATGACTTATATTTTAATGTAAAAGCAGTCTGATCACACATTTCATATTCTTACAATTTTTTTATTTCATTTTAAAATGTCAGAAATTCAAACTTGGTCCTAGCAATAACCCGTTTTTATTATCCAGGGTTTAATGTAATTGTGAAAATCATATAATATTTCGCATTTTAAGGTTGGGATTAATCCTACTAACCGTTGCTAACTAGCGGTGTTCCCAGGCCTGAGCTCCGTTTTTATTTATTATCCACACTTATGGGTAACGGAGAAATGTGGCGAGCGAGACATATTCCCTTCAACGCAGTTAGCTTATATTTCGATTTATTTAGAGCTGCACGTGGCAGGTTGTCAGTAGTTTCGGTGTCATCTAAACACATGCTTACACATCCCTATAGTACCGTCGCTATGGTGACGTTCGACCTCCCAAGTGGATGATATACAAAGAATTCATCTAAACATCAATGTGACTAAACAAAACAAACAATATCCAAAGAGGAAATGTAATTAGTTTTAAATGAGTATAAACTAGTTTATTTGAGATACCCCCTTGCAATCTGTCAAAGCCTCACAGGCTGCAGGAAATATGTATCCCAGAGGTAAATAAATTCTTGCCTCTCCAGAGTAACTGGAGAGGGGAAAATGAAATAAAGCGGATGACACCACAACAGCTGATTTACGTCCGGGGAAGTTACGATTAAATCCAACTATAGTTGACCTACCTGAGCTTTTCTTTCTTCACACAACTACCGAAACTTAGACGATTATATGAAAAACTACAGCTCTATTTTTGGCCAGACCTTTAATCGACCCAGGGAAAGATAACGCTCTGTCCTAGAGTCACCCGTCAAGAGTCCTAATAAAGAAACAAATAAATGTATGTTAAGGCGACGATTCCTAATTAACAAATAAATGAATGTTTTGGGGATGTTTGTCCGATTACGCTGGCTATCTAACGTTGTCCCCGACTAAGTTCAGATAGATAATTTATTTAATTTTCTTAGGGCAGTAAGCCCGGTGGCAAATTCTTCACTCATATCATGCATCTAATACAATAAAGAACACTGAAATGCATACAATACAAAACATAGTATTACTCGCGCAACTTTTCTTGAACGATGACCTTCATCCCCCTCCCTTGTGCAATAAACAGTTGAAGGCAAACGCTCGCAGCGGACACTGATGGCAACCTTCCAAGCATTAAAACTTCGTTGGCGCGAAACAGATGCTAGTCAAAGCCAGTTGCTTTCATAGTGCAGAACCCCTGTTCAGATTTATTGTCAATATCGAAAGAAATAGCTGAGTCAGGTCCAGGTCCTTCAAGGGAGTCACCTAAGGGTACGTTTATGTTGGAGCGGCGATAAACGATGAGAGCGAAGAGAGAGTGGTTGTTGCGAAATCGCAGCGCTGATGTGTTCATGTCGGAGCATCGCGAAGCAGCGCCGCTCCGAATTTGCCAGAGACATCTACAGGACATTCGGCCAAATTAACTCGTCCCTTCCATACCAACCTTGTGTAAATCGCCCACCGTACTTCCTTAATTGGCTTACGGACTTTTGGTTAAGATTTAAGTTGAACCGCAGTAGGAGTCAATCTAAACTTCATTCCCCTACGCAATGGAAACATTACAGACTACGAGGTCCATAGGTCTTTTTTTCGCTCGATATTGGCATGCTTGATAAAGAGAGAGAGGTCAATCTTACTCAATTCCCCCTGCTACATGCGGCAAACAGCTGTGTAGAGCCCACGAGAGAGTCGGTGCTAGCGCGCACTTATTTCGAATTTTTTGTTCTGCAAGCGAATTCAATGGTGGTTTGCTTTGGAAATGTATTGTTATTTTGTATTTTACTTGGCATTTTCATCGATGCGTCGTGATTTCACGGAAATCCCTTCAATGAATGTGCTAAGGAGGAGAATTCTAGAAAGTGAGAGAAGTAAAAAATATTCCTATTAGCGAAGAGCGAAAGAATTTGCTCCAGTTTGATATTGCTGGCTGTGGCGATTATTATAGAGGTAAGCTGCCTTGTCTACACAATTATTAAGTGGTTTGCTTTGAATATGTATAAAATAAATATCATCTATAACATCAAGTACTTAATTTTTTTAAAAATTATTTAGATAATGTGAATTTTGCAAATATCTTATTATATCAATTAAAAATGATTATACAATCTAACTTTATGCAAATTTACATTTGAAAAACTCATGTTCATTTCTTTGTTTTTACAGGGAGAACTAGCCTCTGATGAAAGAAATTTGGGAAGGCATGTGATGAGTGTTTAAGAAGTAAATTAATGGAGTGGGTCTTTGTATGGAGAAAGGAAATCTTATTGTGTACTATAGGCCTATGTGGATCTCCCAATTAAGAAATATTTTTTTCAAATTATATGAAAAATAAAAACAGTGAAGACAAGTGTGAAATTGTGCCAAAAGAAAGTACTATGTAACGAATATTTCAAAATATGTGCAGTGCTCTAATTATTCTGTCAATTTCTATTTTTCAAAGTCGCCATTTAGTCGTCAAATTTTTCATCTGTTAACACAGTTTCAGTTTGGTACATTCTCAGTATTTAGAAGGGGAAGTATCATTTTTTAATTTAAAGACAATAATTAATTTGAAAGATTTTTGTTTCTTCTGTGATATAAATAATTTGTATGTTATGCAAATACATCATGGAGTAAATGAAAAAAAAATTTAAAAGTGTACTTAAAATTAATTAGCTATCTTAAAAATGAAGAAAAGAATTCTTCAACATTTTAATATTGTCTAGACAATAATTTTTGGTGTTAATTTTTTATCAATCTATTTGAATTCTCAGTATATGTTTCCTATTGTGCTTGTACAAGAGCCCTATATGTGGTGTATGTTTGTGTTTAATTTAAACTGAATATAAAGTCTGAATACTAACGTACAAAAACCATCAAATTTCAAAATCATTTCCAAAAGATTAATTTTTTAGTGTCCTCAGTTAATATTGACTGAAGCAACAATACCACTCTATCGCCAATTGTTTTTTAAGTTTTTTTTATGAATGATTTAAAAAATGATTTAGCATGAAGACTTCTAAAATGATCTGGTGTTTTTCAAAAACCATTGTAAATTAATAATTTTGAAGTTCCTTAAGTGGAAACTCACGCTGAATTTTTCAAAAGAAAAACAGATTATCCAGGAAGTGCTAAAAGGTAATTGGTAAGCTAGTTTTATTTTACAATGTTTTCTTAAATCTTAAATCAGTAATAACTGGAAGGCTGAGGGTTCATGGTAACACCTCAATATTTTGCCAAATAGTGGCATGGGACTATGCTGAAACCAATCACTTCAATTTTGATTTAATTACAAACGTGGTAATTCAAATATGTTCAAGGAAATGTGATATTATTTGTACTATTAAAACCAATAATGTAATATATTATCTTTCAATAAGTTTTTTAAGTTAAAAAAATATGTTTTTTCATGCTCAATTTTTCTTCTATTGTTTTCATTTATTCACTGATAAAACATCCCAATTGTTTAATAACATTTAAAAATAATTCAGTTACAATTTCTGTTGTAAATTATGGGCTTTTCGTTACGCCTTGGAGCTGCACCGCACATTGTGAAAGTGCAGTGGATAGCAAAGCACATAAGAATAAGATCATCCCAATCATTCTGGGTGAATGTCTTACACAACTAAAGGAATTCTTTCAAGTTTTATAAGGTGTGTGGTTGCTAATTAGAAATTCATTAAACAGTTGGAGTGGATGGTTTATGGCATTACAAAATAACCTTCTGAGCATCTACATACAAAAATGACTCGGAAAATACATTATACTTCAAGAGATGATGTGCTCTATTTAAGTTAACATTTTAGTTTCCCCAACACACGAAAACAATAAACATGAAGACATACATATTATTTGTATTTTTTTGTTGTTCATTGAAAAACGAATGTAACATAACTCTAAACTTACGTGTTGTACTAATTTAGGCGGCCCACAATTTGTCTAAACGAACATATTGCGGTGATTTATGTCCCCTTTCGTCCCACATTGACTCCTAACAAAAACACAAATGATACATTTCTCAGCAATCAATTTTATTCGACACTTTCAACACCTGAAGTGTGTCAGCTGTGAAGACCGCGGACGCAGGATACTAGCAGCGAAAAAACCTACAAAGGGTTTTTTCGCCGCTTCCTTATCGCTGTCGCAGCGCTGATGCCCGAGAGCAGCGCGTTGCGACATGAACACCTTCCATTTTATTACATGGCGACGTTTCTCGTTGTATGGCTCGCAGCGCTTGCCTTTCATCGTTTTTATTGCAGCTCCAACATAAACGTACCCTGACCCCACTCCCCGCAAAAGTGA